TGTCGTCCTATCAGGAGGACTCTGACGGCCTGTCGGTGGTGAGCAGCTACTGTGATGTCAGTGGAGTCCGTCCAGGTTATGGGGAGAGCTCCTTGTGCATCCTGAGCCCCGACTGTGAGCTTTACATCTGCGACGGAGACGACGACGACGACAGCACTGACAGGTGGGTGATATCAAGACACTTCAGTTTATTCTTAACTGACCTAGAGTGTCACGATAGATAAGTTTAATCATTTAAGGCCGATAGTGTGAATATCTCAACTTCAGTTCACCAAAACTTTTATGTTGTTCGATGCACTTGCACAGTTTTCCTATAAAATGTTATCCTTAGGCCTCCTTCCCCTCCTTCCTTCTTTGCCTTCTCTTTACTCTTTCACCCTTTCACCTTTCCATCTCTTCTCCCATCTCCTCCTCCGTGCAGCTGTCGTGACCAGAGCGACTACCAAGAGTTCAGCGGCTCCGTCAGTGCGGAGGACGAATATCTACCCATCCGTCGCCGTTCGGCCAGACCCGGCATGACCCGGCTCGACCCTCCGCCCCATCGGCCCAACCCCCGGGCGTGGATGGATGAAGCTCGGAGCAGAGAGGGCTTCACCAGGCGGTCGGGTGTGTGAGAGCTCACCTTGTGTATTGTTATATTTAGTTTTTTGGGAGGGAGAACCATAACAGCATCATCTAATCTCTCAGTATGAGTCTGACAGTAGGACGAGCCTTTAGTATGACTTACTGCTCCTGACAGGTTCATATCCAGTTACAGCCAAAGGTGTTCTTTACGCGACAATACTGTTTGATGTCACCAGCTGAGGTGTCACCGAGCAATTATCAGTAATACAATATATCTCGGTTTGTGTCAGGAAGCCTGTGATAGTTGAACTTTGATGTGCGTGTCTCTGTTTCCCCCTCCCTCTTTCTATTTCCGTCACTCTGCTTGACTCCTTTTTTTGTCTTCTAGGGATGAACGACGACAGAGAAAAGCGTGAAAGCGGCTACTTCTCCCTGGGGCGGGCGGCGGGTGCCCGGTCGCTCCATGACAGCAGCCCGTCGGCTCCTTTCCGCCATTTTGAGAGAGGGCATCCCCTCTTCAGCGCCAGAAATATTGAGCCCAAAGACACCATCCCCTTCAGAAACCCTAATCTCGGCGTGGCCTCCGAAAGGCAGGTACCAGAGGATCAAGATGACGATCTCCCCGTGGAAATACTTCCTCCTGACCCCTATGATATTGCCATTGAGGTTGAGGCGCAAGTCGGCCCTCGCTCTCCCAGTCCCACACCTTTCAAGGTAGCGGAGTCTCTGGCCTCTGAGCGAAAGGGATTCAGCACTTCATATGGCCGGGGAAACCCTCCGTCTCATGTTTCGTCCTATCATCAATCAGGACGATTTGATTCCTCAAAGCGTAGCTCAGCTCTGCAATCTCGCTCTTCTTCTCCGCCACGTGGAAACTTACCGTTCAGACGCAGCGAGTCCACCGGTTCCCTCAGTAGGCGCAGTTTCGATGGTGGAGGGTGGTCTCAAGGGACGGAGCCGGGATCCAGAAGCTCCTTGCAAAGCACACATGCCCGACGCGGTGAGTCGGGAACGCTGCCGAGAAGCTTCAAAGCGCTCCCAGGTTCAGGCAAATACCAAACCAGCACGGTCTCTGACTTCAGGAGTGCCTTGAGGAGAACAGAAGTAAATGGGTCTCTGAGTTCTCGAGGTCATGACGGCAGAAGCTCATCTCCCTCACGGAGAGACTATAAACCTCCAGGTCCCATGTCTCTCCGCAAATCTGAAACCACCAGCCGGTCACCGGCCGGACGAGGGCGTGACAGTCGTACTACATCTCCATCGAGGAGAACTTCTGAGGTTCACCGTGACAGTTCCTCGCCGCCAAGGAGAACTTACGCCTCCTCCAGCCGGTCCCTCCTTTTTAAGTCGGAGTCGGTTACATCTCTGAACGGACGCAGTCACAATGGACGCTGTGGTTCCCCCATAAGAGAGGGCTACGATATTGAAAGCCAGGCTCTGCTGCGAAATTCAACAGAAAGGAATAGACTGAATGAACAAGAACATGAACATGAAAGTGCCGCAGTGTCTCCGGCCAGACGGGGTTACGACACGCCAACTCAATCCATACTCCGCAAGACTGAATCCAGTCCTGTTTCTGGGAGTCGAGGTCGAGACAGCCGTTGTTCCTCCCCTGGAAGAAGAGGCTATGAAACCCCTCATCAGTTTCAACTTAGGAAAACAGACACTAGCGGTTCATTGAGCAGCCGTGGTCGTGAAAGTCGTAACTCGTCGCCTTCGAGGAGAAGCTACGAAGCCGCCCCTTCTCAGTCTCTGCTGCGCAAGTCTCAAGGAAACGGCTCGGTCAGAGGCCGTGATGCACACAGTTTGTCACCTTCAAGGAAAAGATATGATGTGTCTGAGCAACACTCACTGCGGAAAACCCAAACCAGCAGCTCCCTGCACGGCACGAAACACGCCAGCCGCAGCTCCTCTCCCTCTGGGAAAGGCAACAGTGACGCACCAGGCTACTCAGTCCTCAGAAATGCCACTAATGGAGACTCCAGTCGTTCTCTCCAGAGAAAAAACACATACAGTGACTCAAAGTCTGACCCCAGACACTCACCGCGCTCCTGGCAGGAATCAACGCACTCCCTCCGCAGCTCTTCATTATCTCGTGGTGCTTCACCCTCCAGAGCGACCACAAATGGCAGCAGAGCAGCTTTCGTCACGTTGGAGGAGGCACCCAGGAGCCCGAGCAGCGTCAGATCTGTGGCTGGGAGACGCGTCCATGAGGAGCGCTCCCTCTCACCGAATGACAGGAGGACCTCGCACCGTGGACGCAGCCCTCCTCCATCACCTCAGATTCAAACGCGGAGGCACACCTCCTCCCAGAGCTCCATGGAGTCCTCTGAGTCAGGCCCGCTGTCAGTGGGCTCCACGGGGCGGAACAGGGAGGAGTACGCCATGTTGGCTGACCTGCCGAAGGTGAAGAGGATTCATGAGAGAGAGGAACCGGGGCACATCGGTCGACCGCAGAACCAGCAGCCGTCCCGGAGACAGGAACTCTTCAAACCAGCCAGGTGAGACTTCAACCAAAAAGAAATACTTGAGTTAACATCACAAAGTCCAGTTATATGGTTTATTTTATGACATCACAAACACCTCAGCTTCTTCTGCACCATCAGATTGGAGGAATTTGACCACACACACACACACACTAATTACCTGTCTGTGCTGTTCCAGCCACTCCCTGAGCAAACACCCATCCAGAGAGAGGGATGATGCAGTGGACACGGAGAGAGAATGGCACTATGGTGGCAGCGGGTATCTGTCTCGGGCTCACTCCTCCACCTCATTGCAGGTAGGGTCGGTTAAGGAAACATTTGATCCTCTTGGTTTGGCCGTCCAACTTCTTGTCTTATTGCAGTAACCTTAAAAAATACACATTAGTGCAAACCTCCTCCAAGGCCCCAGAGTCCCCTTCAGATTCAATCAAGCTGCACACACTTATAGAAATTAGTTTTTCGTAATCTTGCTTACAAACAAACAAACGTACAGGAGGGATTAAAAAAAGGAAATAATATTCCACTTCCTTCATTCCAATAAATCTGGATTTTTGAGAACTCCGAGCACAGAGAGAGATGATAGAGAAAATGTCAAAATGAGTTTAAAAGAGCTGGAAACTTTAAATCCCTGCAGTCGTATGTTCCATTTCAGTAAAACTTTGCTGCTTTGTGATTTTCACCTGCCCCATTAATCACATCTTCCACATAACACACGCCAGCAAAACCCTGTGAAACGGTGGGTTGGGGTATTTGCTCAGTAGGACTTGAGATTATCTCCATATATATATATATATATATATGTAACCACAGGTTCTGTTCTTCTGCAGAGGTCTGGCAGCCCCACGGCGGACGAGGGCAGTTCTTGGAAAGGTAATCATCTCCACAGGTCGGAGCACATGCAGGTATGTGGTGCAGCCTAGTCCACTTACAGCTGATCTCCCACTGTATGAATATGTGGAGACGACCTCTCCCACTGAGCCACATCGAGAAAGAAGAGTTGATTCTTCTCTTATCGCTAATGTTTGTATTTAAAACCATAAACCTCCACACACGTGGTTTATTATGTCTATTTTAATACGTGCTGTCGTTCTGTTACATTTACCCGACAGCTGTCGACAGTTTATCGTGTTCACACAACTTCTGTCAATAATCTGCATCTCCGCACTGTATCTGCTGCTTTTTTTTTTTTTTTTAAATGCCCTGCTTGTTGTGTGTCTGTAGACTTCACCTACACCCTGCAGGCATTTCATAAGACCCAGCTTTGTCAGTTGTGGTGTGCTGGGGCATGTGTTGAAATTCCTGAACTGAAACCAATAGCTACCAAGAGAGGATTTTGAGAGGGGGGGGGGGTTGGGGGGGAACTTTGTATGCAAGCCCAAATATATTCAGTTGAGGGAAATATAGCCTGTAGATGTGTTGTGTGTGTGTGTGTGTTGGTAAAGTACAGCGAGAGATGGCTGAACCTTGTCATGGATCCCCAAGGTTTTCTGAGAGGTTTGCTCTTGTAGGAAAAAAAAAAAGGAAGTTGTGATACCACCTCATACTGACACCACATGTGTAAACTTGTTCTTTTGTTGTGATGATCTATTATTGGTCCAATTAGTCAGATTGAAATATTCCTCCTGGGGCACAAGAAGGGAGGGGGACAGCTAAACTTCTCCTTGTCGTGGACCCCCAAGATTTTCCGAGAGGTTTGGTCCCAGGACAGAAGGAAGTACACAGTGTTCTCTGTTATAATAATCTACTTCAGGTCTAATTGATCCTGATTAAAACATTCCTCATGTGGCACAAAGTTGGGGATGAACCCAACTTTTCCTTGTCGTGAATTTCTAGTTCCAGGACAGAAGGAAGCACAGTTTGTTAAAATAATCTACTGCAGATGCAGTTAATCGTGATTAAAACATTCCTCGTGGACCAGGGGCCCCTCGAGCTGCGTCCTCTCACCCGCTGGAGGAGCTCGGGCCCCCGGCTGCAGCTCCTGCACCGTGTGGCTGCTCGAGGCGGAGGCTTCATGTTCCCCACCGATCCTCCGGACGGATCCGCCCAGGAAGTAGAGAGAGAGAGAGAGAGAGAGAGAGAAGCAGCCAGGTCCCACGTAACGTTAGATTCACAAAGAGAGAAAGTGGAGGAAGCACCGCTCCTCCGCACTTTAACCTGCGGGGCGGATTCACGCACTTTTCAGACGTTAACGCAGGAGCCGGAGGAGGTCACGCGTCATGGAGATCTAACGCGGGTTTGAATGGCGGCGGCGCCTTTGATTCACGACACTGCGACAAAGTAACGTCAGAAAAAAAGAGACGAGGAGGGAGAGAGAGGAAGAAGAAGGAGAAGAAGGAGAGAAAGAAGGAGCAGGAGGAGGAGAAGAGTAGTTTGTGTTCACGGTGTTTTCCTTTGTGTTCGAACCCTCCGGATCCTGTCACCATGACGGTAAGAGCTGTTGCACCTTGAGAGCTCTCCGTGTTTTTCCTGTCTGTCACTTCCTCCTGAACCGAACACTTCTGATTCAAACGTGTCCGTCAACCTGCGCGATACTCGATATTGATCGATGGGTCGATTATTATCGCGATGAATGTCACGTTGCTGCTCCCGAGTGAAGGGTTGAGTGATCGCGGCATACATCATGTGTAGGTTTGAGGCAGTATGTCAAAAGTTATGTCTCAAACTTCCAATCAGTGGATATCGGTAATAATCCGGATAAATGTCCCATTATTATTATTATCATGTGTTTTAAATGTTATGACGTATGTTGTGTAATTCTAAATATGTGAAATCGCAGTGTTACTAGCTTCTACACACGTGTCAATAGTTAAACATGTGGAATGTTGTGATTAGTCCTGGACGATATGGTCGGACATTTGGTATCGTTTATATCGCGATAAATGTCACGTTGTCGCTCATGTTTGCTTCTGACTGAAGTGTTGAAAGATCAAAATACACATTGTTGTGTAAGTTTGGGCAAAATGATGTCAAAACAGTTCACATAGGTCAGTGTTGATTATTATCAGGATAAATGTCACATTATTGTTTAGATTAAGTTCAACAACTTTTGTTCCCGAGTGAACGTTGTGGTTCTCAATCCTTCTTTATGAGCAGAGAATGACAAACACTTAAATGTTTTAAACAAAGTAAAACACACCAATTTACCTTTTGTTCTATTGATCAATATCCACAATAAATTAGAAAAGCAGCAAATCAAAGTGGCATATGTGGACTTAAAGCATAATTCAATTACAGATATCTGGAGTTTCAGTCAAAAGTTGATTAGTTGTGATTGAATTGTTGGGTTTGTATTCTATGTCTAAGAATAAAACGGTGGCTATACTGTGAAATAAACTGTTGGTATCTTTACGTGTTTGTCGATCTCTGCCTATAATATAATGATGTGACGTTTATTATAATCTTTGGCTGTATCACCTTAACAGAGATGCTTCCAAACTGCAGCAAACTAAAAGCTGAATTAGTTTTTCTGTGTTGTGTGTGTGTGTGTGTACTCAGTTAAGATAGGTCGTGTGTGTTTCTTGTGCTAGTTTCCAGGTGTGTAGCACTGACATCTGTTGACCTTGTTTTGTTTACAGTAACAGGAAGCCACGGGCTCGTAGGTTTCAGTTGCTGGAGCCAGCTGTTTGCACATAAGACAAGAAAAGAAAGAAAACACTGCAACTGGTTTCATAAAATAACACATTAAGATATGCGTCGGTGTGATTTGTGAGCTCTCAGCACAAAGTTTCAGAGCGAATCTGATGAACTGAACAGAAGTATACATGCTGTACTCGACCTAAGGGACGAGGCTGACTTCACCAGACAATACTCCTCTATACTCGAGGGAGGCAGGAAGAGAGGACGTTGTCTGAAACGGTCACCGCTGCTCTGACCCGTTTTCTGGCCACTGATCTGAGAGCATGAAACAAGAAGAAGCTCTGTTACGTTATCCTGGTTATTCTGAACAGATCCAGTCATTCTCTACTCTGAGTTTCCCCCTGCTCCTCCGTGGCTGCTCCCTGACCCTGCTCGTGGGCATGTATGGACTAGATAAGTTAAATTTATGATGACGTTTGGCACATTGCAACATGCTGCGGCGGTTCATTCCCTCGTGAACACACACAGGGAGGAAAAAACAAGGAGGGAAGATGTAGTCAGCAGTGATGAATCCTTTAAAATCCCATTTATCTTGTACAGCTCTCTGAAATAACGTTTCTATTATATTTATAGTCAACACCCGATGATGCAGCCATTGTTCGTGTGTGTGTGGAGAACCCAGCGCTACAATGCCACATCATTTATTGGAGCTGAGAGGAAATTAAATTGGATTTCGTGATTCTTAACATGGTGTTGCTCAATAATTCCCTTTGCACGGCCTGTTGGCAGCCATCAGACCTTAAAACGTGTCAGATTAAAGAAGATCAGCAGCGTAGATGAACTGGATTACACAGAGCAAAACTGGGTGGAGCTGTGGTTTACGAGGACGCAACCCAAGCCAGGAAGAGAGTGTAAATACAGAGCGAGGGTGTTTGGCGATGACAGAACAAACCCGAGGAACTGTATCAAGAGCTCAAACAAAGAGGGAGCCGAACTGAAACCCGAGATGAAGACGAACAAGCAGTCGCAACTCTGGGAAATTGAGGTGATGGGAATGAGAGAGTCCAGGGGGAGATGAGATGAGATGACGAATGCAGTGAGAGATTTAAAAGTGAGGAATGTACATGCCAGTGAAGGAGAGATAAGAGGAGGCAGGAATGTATGTTGAGGGGGAAAAAGTTGCCTAATCTTAATCTGGGAGATTGCGGCATCTTGAGGTACCGAGTCTGAAGCAAAGGAGACGTGTTTTGATGCATCATCATGCCACCTCACAGCCGCAGCAACAGACATGATATTTCACAATGTGTGACACGGTGTTTAGTTATCAGCAGAAGCAGGGCTGTAGACACCGGTGTGAAGATCTCTATAGTTGTCAAATCTCTCCTCCCTCCCAACATCTTCTCTCGGTTGTCTTCAGATATTTGTTGGGTGTTACTTCTTCTGTGCAGTCTCACTTGTTTCCTGTCCTTTTTTACACCTCATATGCGCCGTTATTTTTGAAGCCACTTCTCTTTTTTCGCGTGTCTTGCATGTTGCAGTGCAACAGAACAGCAGCCTGGAGGAAACCCGATGTTGAGAGACTCACATACAGTATCTCTGTCTTAAGTTCAAAGACTGATTGTGGTTTTAAACTCTTCTTTATGAGCAGAGAACAAACACACAAACACTTTTTACACACAAATCACTAGGTCTTTATTTGGATTAGCACCAGATTGTACAGCAAAAGTAAGCTCAGACTGAGTTATTGCTTTATCGCTCGAATATACATTATGTGAATACTCAAACTGAAATACTTCTTGAGATAATAAAGTGATTTTAAAATGATAATGTTTTATTTTTTTATTGTTGTGTTACAGCAGCATGTCAAGGTCGTCACAGAAGCAGCAATAAAACAGTTACGAAGAATTCAAATAGCTCAAAATAGAACGTGGTAAACATAAAATGTAATAAAAACTATATATACAGCGATACACAATAAGTACCAGAATACACAGTGAAGTACTAAACTACATAATATTTCACTGTCGACGTGCTCCAAGAAACGTACAGCTACACACAACGTGTATAAAGTGTAAACAGTTTCTGGTTCCAGTACTGACTTTGTGAAAGTGAGTTTCTCCACAACAGAAACTGGTTTGTGTCAGAATAAGTCAGCTGTATTATATCTGCTCTCTCGTGTACAGGATTGTAAACCTGCGCTGGTGCGGCTGTTGTTTATCTCTTGTGTAGGGTTGCTGTTGTATTGTTCCGACCTTTAACGTGAGCTTGTTGTCAGCTTCACACTTCTGTCCTTCAGGCTGAGCAACATTTTTGTCAAACATTCAAACGTGTGTCAGTGAACGTGACGCCGTGTCCCTCTCTTCCCTCGCAGCCGGACCTCCTGAACTTCAAAAAGGGATGGATGTCAAAGCTGGACGACAGTGGAGAGGTAAAGCACAGTGTTCCCGTCGCATGTCACATCCACCTCTTCCACTCTCCTCGCTACCTTCTCGCCTCGATCCCTCGAGAACGGTGGTGTGCTGTCAGTCTTGGGTGTTAATACCCCCCTGCTGTCGCATTGTCAAATGTCAGTTGCAAACATGGTTTTGAAGATCCCAGTTCAGTCTTGGATTAATTGATATCTTGTGTATTCAGTGGAAGAAGCACTGGTTTGTTCTGACGGACGCTGGACTGAAGTACTACAGAGACTCCAGTGCAGAGGAGGTACGTTTTCCCTCTTTTATGTTCGTTTGTTGCGTATGTGAATTTTTAAAAAATGGGCATAGAAATGGTGTTTAATAAAAATAAGCTTGTCGGAGCATTTCGAGCACAAACAGGCTCATTGTATCTTTTGTGACAATGAACATATCCTGTTTCCGTGTGTCTGTGCAGAAAGATGATATGGACGGAGAGATTGACCTAAAATCCTGTGTGAAGGTGTCTGAGTTCGACGTGGAGAAGAACTACGGCTTTCAGATACAGGTTAATATCTCTGTTATCACTTCTCCTCTTTCACCGGACTGTTTTTCTTCTTTTTGTCTTCCCTCGCCACATCCAAGCTGTCGCTGCCTCGTAGACTTCTCTCTCTCTCTCTCTCTCTCTCTCTCAGTGTTTCCTGCACCTCTCTCTGTGTCCGTCCCTTTCAATTCTCCTTTATCGTCTCCATCACATCTCTGAGTCTCATTAACCCGTTTCCTCTTTTACTCTCCAGACGAGGGAGGCCGTGTTCACGCTGTCCGCCATG